GCATTATCAAACTAGTGGCTGTTCTTGATGAGGCTCTGTCTTGCTCTAAGCATTTTCCCTCAATGCTTTCAAGGCAGCAGAGAATACATATTCCCTCACAAAGGGAAAGTTCCTCTCACAAAAGAATTTACACCAAAAAATATGCCACTTGGAAAAAAATAATTCTAACATACTATGTGAGAAAGTGGTAGACAGTTAGCCAAAGCCACGTCCTCATGGATGGGCATAAATGGAGATCTCAGTAACCAGGGTAAACCCAGCTCTGTACACACATTCCCGAGGCTGCTTTGGTACATCATAGCGTTTGTTAAAGTGTAACTTCTGCTTTGTACGAGACGCAATGTTCAGATTTGCTCAAACTTTTAAGTTTGCAGAGAGATGGATAGGTCATCCATCCGAAAATCTGGAAAACAGTGAAGCTGTCAACTTGGAAAGATGCTTATGAAGCTGGAAATGCCCTGATCATCGCAACAAAATAAGCAAAGTCGCTTAAGAACAGGGAGCGACACATTGCTGTTATAACACAACATGATACCATTTCAGGCTGTTTGCCCTCCCTCGTTGCCTTGAATCATACCTTTAACTTGGTACTTCGTAGTTGCACCTACAGTGTTTATAAATAAACCATGCAGGACCACAGCACTCTGCTCTGGGGTCTCGGCTGGCTGCACCACGCTGCCATTTGTAAGCGGCTTGGGGTGCACCTCGGGGGAAAGAAGCTGCAGGAGGCTGCTGACCCCTTGCTGCAACCAGCTGCTTTGCACAGCTGCGCACAGAGCAAAACTGCTGAAGGCCAGCAGAAAACAGCTGTACTTCTGCCAATACAATAGAACTAAGTCTGATGTATTTAAAAAAAAAAATCATTCTGAGGCCAGTACATCCCTTACTGTGCGTCTCACGTACTGAGACAAGCAATGTTTGACACCAGGCTATTGCCTGCACTAGAGAGCACATCTGCATCTAGGTAAGAGACCTAAGGCTTCAGCACAGGTCACCAGGTACTTTTACACAGGGGTGCTTGCCCAAGTACAACCATTAACCACTTTAGTTCATGACCACCCAGCTGCACCCTTCTGTCACACCTGAATTAGGTCAACACCCTGCCTGCCAGGCTGCCAAACAACCAGACCTCCCCACCTCTGCCACCCATCTCTTGCTGGTTGCACTATCAAAGACCTAGGTCACTGCTTACCCTGTGGTGCCTTTCCCACCCCGCTCATGTCAACCCCAGAAACCTCTGAAGATGCTGCTGCCATGTCCCTTTCTCAGGCTCAGCAGCTTCCTCTCTTGCGAGCCTCAGCTTTTCTTACTCATTTCTCTTCTACCTCTCCAAGTGCCAGTGCTTCCTCTTGCTTGAGGTGAATCTCGATTCCCAAGGCAGTTGACAGGTTGTGCTAACTTTTACAATTAGAACCACAGTTTTATTTTGCTTCTTTATGTCAGGATTTTTTGGGGGAGGCAGCAGTGGGAGGTTTGAAGAACAGACTCTTATTGCACATTCCCTATATCTCTTTCTCCAAACATGCTAATAATCATGCCACTACTAAGTTCCAATCAGCACCAGTAATACTTAAAGAATCAGAAACCAGATTCAGTTTTTAGGTTTAAACAAGCATTTATTTTCCAGGACATCCTAGAGATCAGGTGTCCTCTACCTCCCAGGTACTGAGAGGGAGCAAGACACAAAACAGACTGTGGTCTTCTTTCATAGACTGTATTTCATCTAATCCCAAATTCAAAGACACCTTGTGCTTTAACAACAGATCCCAGTAGAACTCATCCAACTGGAAACAATCACATATGTTTATTTTGTCACCAGTTCAACCCCATACGGTTCTCCCATCTCTAAAATTCTGCTGTGTCCTGCCAAAAATCACTTGCAAGTATCTTGTGACAGTCTAATGGGAACATAAGCACTGGTAACAGTGAAACACCAGGACAGCTTTGCTGAGGTTGGAATGCACTGCAAACACACCACTTGTCCAAAAGTCAGATTCTCGTACCACCCCCATGCTAGTCTTCTCTATCAAATCTGATCAAGTAAATACTCTTAGTTGTGTCTCACTCTTCAGCCAGCATTAACAACTTTTCCCCTAAAATTTAGGCCAAAAACTTTACTTGAAAACATAGACTCTTCTTCCTACGGGATGTAATTACGACTTTGTCAAAACCATTAAAAATTGGAGTTTCTCAGTGGTGGGGAGACAATAAGGAGAGTGGTGCGTATTTCAGCTAGTGTTGAGTCCAGAAGGAGCAGACCTTGGCACAAGTCATCACGATTGAGAGCGAGGAATCCCACTCATTCTACTGCAACTTACCTTAATAATTACCTTAACATGTTTCAGAAAGAGAAGCTAGATTAACACTGCCTCGCTTGTTAAGAGATCTCATCAATTTATACCAAAACAAGTGCTTTGAATACATACTAAATCTGCAAACTCACTGATCTTCCTTAGGGAGGTCTGCTCCTTCACCATCACCATTCCCAAAACAAAAAGATCCAAGGATCTGGGTATTTCTAGGTTCTTAATACAACTTCAATAGTGGCGCAACAGAGCTTTGCTTGCTCAAATTTCCAGTTTGTACCAGTTCTAGTAGGGGTTCATCTACACAGCTGACTAAGAGCGTTTTCAGACCCTCTAGATGCCTCTGGATGACAAAGCATGGCAAAGAGCCCTCCCATCAGATGACTGTAGCCAGCAACTGGATATAAAACACAATCAGAAAAATTCAAGACAACAGTGATGCTTCTTAGAACAGCCCCAAAGTGCTCCCCTGTATGGCAAAAATATTGGAACAGTGCTAGAAATCAGTCATGCTGTCATTCGTTCATTACCTTAATTATGGAGGAGGCACATGGGAGGAAAACAAAAAGTTGGGATTAGTGAAGGCAAAGCCTAAAGGTAAAGCAGCAAGTTACAGTACTAGCAGATTCATATGATGGTGCTGGCGGTGAAGGGGGGGGGGGGGAGGGTAGTGTGGGGGGGAGGGGGGGGGGGGGGAAGGTCAACTGTAGGTTTCAAGGTAACAAAGTAATACTTTTGCAGTAGGTTTTTCTGCCTCAGGAAAGGAAGAATTTAATTTACAATGTCATTTTCCTCTTACATCTATTGTTTTAATTTGCTAATATTTTTCCCCAACCAAATGTACTCATTTGTGTAGTATACGCTTTAGAGTATCTTTTTTTCTTTCTTTTTTTTTTTTTTTTTTTTCAGTCTTTTAACTACAGCAACTTACCTATTAAGCACTTTGAAGTTAAAGTTTTATTTTGTGCCTCTCTTAGAACTGCTGTGATCAACTTACCTGACAGTCTCTGGAATCTTACAGCTAATGTTAGGGCTACCAGAATTGTGCTTTTCTTCTTCAACCACACAGTTTTCATTTGTGCATCTTGCATAGTCTATATATTTTTCCCTTTTTTTTTTTTTTTGAGGACAAGAGGATTTTAATCTTGAAAGTGCTATTTCATATTTGTTTACTTAACATTACATTGTTCCTTCACTTAACTATAAATGCTAAGCATGCAAGAACACCTAAGTGATAGATATTCCCATATCAAATTCCCGTCAAAAACTGACCAGGGAGAAAAAAGATGGAACCTTTCTCTGAAATAACCAACCCACCTCAAATTGCCTCGAGCTCTACTGCTTTAGCAAAGCGTATTTACATTGTCGATGTTATGCTTCCCTCTACTGTTTATCATAAGAAGTGCAGTTACCTCTTAACATTCTGAAGCCTTCTTCAAAAAGCTCAACATACAAACCGATCTTTAGTTACAGACAAAACTTAGCAAATAAACTTAATGAAAGTTTCATTTTGTTCATAAAAAAATAGAGGCACTGAGCACAACTGTTGCCACTTATCTCAAGCTCAATATTACATGTAATATCAACTACAACATACTAATTGTCTCATGCTGTAGTTTACAGTCTATGAAAAAGTCAATTTCAGGCAGGCAAAAAGCTTCAAAGACCAAAGCCATGTAACAAAGATTAAAAAAACGTCAAGAACCAAAGAATTATCATGGAAATAACTAGCCATGTGCATCACAAAACAGTGTTTTGTATTTCACATCATTGATTTCAAGAAATGAATTCCACAGATACATTAAACGTCAAAACAGTAGTGGTCTTTATTTCCATCAGACAAGTTAACATTTCAGTTACTATTAATTTATTTCAACATTTGGGAGATATGGAAATTAATGACTATAAAAAAGTGAAATAAACCCCCTTCCAAAAATATATTGGATAATACATGTGTCTGAATTTTTTACTGTCATTCTGATGAGCCCTTTACATTATGTGACATCACATACAGTTTTGCAAGACAAAATAATTTACAGACTGGTTTTCAGCCTCTGATTTGTGAGCCTTCATAGTATCTATGAAAAGCAACTTTACACGTGCTACGCAGCAATCTAAGTACATAGATTTCAAAGGGGTCTCAATTCAACTGGAAAAAAAACTAGAGAGGTCCACAAATCAAAAAAGGTAAAAAATACTGCATTGAAATAAACAGGAGGGAAAGCTAACATTAGCTTAAAACCAGAAAATACATTAGTCAATATTTTTGTAATTTTAGAAACTGGGCTTTCAATAATGCAATTATCAGTTGGTTTTGATTAAGTTAAAAACTGCAGACTAAAAAGTCTTCAAAGAAATGAAAACAATCTTCTCCCTTTGTCACCTAACAGCAAGTATGTACCATATAAATAACGACTGTACTATAGAACTCTCCGTATAGATCAGAGATTTTCAACAGAAACAGGGTTTCATTTTAGTGTCAAGCCAGTAATTAAAATTTTAGTTCACTTGTTGTTAAAAATTCTTAAAATAGAGGAGAATTAGTCCTGCAAAACCAGTTAGCAGTCTGTTCCTGTTGCAAGCCATGACTACTGAAAAATTACAATCTTAAACCCCCTGCCCCCACCAAGTTTTCTTGCAATCTTGCCAAGAAACCCATGTAGTCACTGGGAGTTTGTAAATTTATTTTTCTAGAGGGGCGGGGGATGTTAAATAAAAAGTGTCTCATCTAATGAGGAAAGGCAAAAAAAAAAAATCAATGACTAGTTTTCACAGTAAAATGCATCAGCTTTGTAGTTTCATTTGAAACCAAGAACAAATCATGAAACGTCATGAAAATAAGATTAAAAAAATCTCCTAGAGTGATTACTAAATAAAGTTAAAATTAACACACTAATCAGTAAACCCCAGAAGAAAAGCAGATGCCTCATATCACAGGTCCTACATTAAACAGTATCCAATTTTTAAAATAAATCCATAAAATCTGTATGTTTGGCCACTTTGCACATTTTTCCCCTAAAAAATACAGTGTACAGAAAAAAAAATATTGTTATTCCCAGTATGAATTCTTAAGTATAAGCTCAAAACCCAGAAGTTAAAGATCAGTTAAAAGGATTTTAAGTTATTTACAAATCCAGCAGGTAGAACTACCATAATGGCTTCATTTCCATCCTTGTAGTGGCTTTCACTCTTATCCAGCAGCATCTGCAGTAAGAATCTCTTCAGACAGCTTCATCACTGATCATCTGTCATTTTAAGCAATTCTAGAAGAGCCCCAACAGCTCCAAAATAACCCTTTAAAAAAGGCAAAAGCAAAACAAACCCAATCAAATTCCAAGATTAGATATAAGCATGAGCATGTAAAGTCTTCAGTTCCATTAAGGCAATTAAAAGACCTTTCGTATAAGACCAGCCCTCTGCTGTGCCAAGTAGTTGCTGTACCTGAATTGTGATTTAATGTGATCTTGTTTGGGTCCAAGAAAGGGCCTTATACTAAGAGAAATCTTACACAGTTCTCTAAAATTGCCAAAAAAGAATTTACAGAACCACTATAATGATGCTGTATTGAGGCAGGGCAGTTTCCATTATGAACACATCCATCCAACAGTCATCTCAAAATCACACTCGCCAAAATTAATTCTAGTTGAGGTTTATATACCAGACCACGCAAGTGAACATTGTTGGTATTAGGGACAGAAAGCAAAATTAAGAGATGTGCAACATTTAGCAACCAATACAAGAATAGCGATCAAGGAGTTAACAAGGGAGTTAACAAGGGATATTTTCAAATGAATCTGTACTTTAATTATATTTATGCAGACTTTACTTTGCACATTAACTTCAAAGCAATGACACTGAAATTCTCCCTTTTAACTTCACCAAGAATCACAAGATTTTTGTACTTACAAATAATATTAAAGTTCAACATGTATGTCCTTACCTCGTGTTCTAAAAACAGAGCTTTCAGTTGTCCCTTGGACCAATAATCCATAGCATATGCTAGCACCTTCATAGAAATCATATTAATTCTGAGAAAGTTGCCAACAAATACCACCTTGTCGATGTTCTGTAAAATTGAAAAGCAGACCAGCAAAAATTATATTCAGCTACATTATTTGCCTTATTCAACATGTACTTCTGCCTCCACTATAAAGTTAAACAGGAATTTTGGGTTACATTTAAATTCTCCAGACTGAAAAGTCAAAAAAAATAATTGCAGTTACTGACTGCTAAGTAGAGATGTTGCAAGAAAAAAAAAAATTATTCCAAAGAAAGTGAGAGGCTGACATCACAGATGGTGAATATTTGCTTAAAAGCCCAGGATTTTCCCAACACAAACAGGATTATGAGTGTTTTGTTGTTTTGGGGTGTTGTTTTTTTTTTTTTTCTCAATTGTGTATGATGTGGCTGCACTGAAGACATTTTCCCCCTCTTTGTTAAATGAAGCAACTTTCTAGAGATCACAGTGATTATGCAATCCAGATGGAGAACCTCTGAAGAGTATCTGAGAAGGATTACATTGGAGATGAGAAGAAGCATCTTTCATTATTTATTATCTGGACTGCGGTTTCATTTTCAAAAAGCAAGTGAAACATGGCCAGCATGATACTTGACATGCATTGCATTCCTTTGTTTCAAAGCTCACTTAAACTCCATTTTCATACGGAAGCTTAAGACTTTTGAACAACCAGCACTATGTTGTCAGTGAGAAAGCCACACACTATCCTTACTTGTATGCACATCAGTGCACGTAAGCAACATTTCTGGTGCTTCAATAACATCCACAACTATCTTACCAAGCCCAGTTTTGCCTGTTATGCACAGAAATGCGCTTGCATTTTGAATTGGCGTGCCATATGATGTTCACCATACACTTGAACTGGTCTAGAAGATTGAGTAGAAGGTCAAATCCTGGAGACATAAGCTTTACAGAAGTCTTGAAGGAGCCCTAGAAATGTACCTTCAAGAGCCCTCTGCTAAAAATTACCAGCAAAAACCTGCACTTAGGCTAGAATTAAAGTGTTACCTCTCTACATTCATACAGCTCTATAAAGCCCAACATTTGGTTCTGTAGCCATTATTTTACTACAGGACGCAGTTTTGTTGTGCATGTGACATACCACAGAGGACCTCCTCACTTGAATACTCAGTATTGGAGAGTGCTGATACTCAGATGCAACAATTCATTTATCCAGTCTCTGATGACTGAGCTACATGCCTGATTGACCTCAAACCAAACAGATCAACACAAACTTTATTTAAATAATTCAGGTTTATAGTCATCTATCCTCTTAGACTCTGCAGTCACATCAGCATGCACTTGTACTGGTTCCCAGGAACTTATATGGCTGAAAATAAGAACTTCTCAAATTTCAAAAGGCTGCTATTAAACATGGCCAAGAACATTTTGCATTCTCTGACAAGGCAGTTTTGCCTCTGAAGTAATTTCTGACAAAAGAGGGACAAACATGTAACGAATTAATTTCCTGTAATGCAATACCATCAAATTGATTAGAATCTACATTTGAATTTCATTTTCATGAAATTGTTTTTTTTCTGAATATACGCACAAAGCTATGTTACTAGAAATTCAAGCAAGCAATACCTAACACTGAGTATAAAAATTACGGACAATTTTGAATCTAAAAATACTAGTCATACCTAGTAGAACAGCAGAGTGTATGTCAACATGCAAATTTCCTATCAATTTTATTTTCCAACATTACTTTACTTCACGAGGTTAAAAATTATGTTAAAGATTTAAAGTTTGCTAATTTTTTCAATTGAACTAAAGACAGCTTTAGCATTTTTCAGGAGTCTAAAAATGAAGAAATGCTACTTTTATCTCTTAAGGGAGTCTTCCCAATTTACTTTTAAATTGTTCACTGCTGAAATATTCAAAGCTGAAAGACAAAAGCCTTAAATTGATGAAAGGATGGTGATGAAATGCTTACTTAAGCTAACCAAATTACAACATCCTGGAAAAAGACACACACTCTTCCACTCTGTGGAGTCTTGCAAAATTGTTCAACTACCCTGCAGTAGACAGCTATAGTATAACTTCAATATAGTATATACACATATTTGCCAATATAATTGAATAGGAAAAGTTATATCAAAGATGCAATAAAAAAAATCTGCATATATTTTTGCAAGAAGCCTCGTTCAGATGCAACTTATGTGTTCTGCTAGTAAGAAAAGTAGAAACCAGGGAGACTGGTTTCCTTTATGCAGTTCTGCTGTGCCTAGGACAGACTCTTTCAAATGATGTGTAGCCAAATGGTTCCAGACCATGGAATTTTTCTACCCCACTGCCAACTTTGTGCAAGCAAACTTTGCTTTGAAGTTCTGCAGACACAATATTTTATTTATTCCCCAGCCTCATTTTTTTTCCCCTGCACATATGCAAGTCATTTTCAACACAATATTAAAGCTGCAATCATTGGGGAAAAAAACCCAAACCAACCAACACCTCAAAACCCAACCAACTTATCAAAACTCATGCTTCAGGGCATAAATTGATTTTATCAAAGAACCTAAAAGTGAGCTTCACCATAACCCTAATCTAATACACACAAACTCCACAAAAGAATATATCATATTCAACTGGTTTTTAAGCTCTTAGTTGGGCATTTCATTCATCAAGCTTGGTGAGAGTCAGAGCCATATCTCCCAAAGGCAATTTAGGTGTCTGGATTATTTAGCAGAATGATAGCATTACTTTTTCTCCCTGAGAGCAAGCTATCTGGAGATTAGTTTACTTGAAGTGATATATCATGTTTGAATTTTTTTAATAGTTTGTAAAGCTACTAAATTAAGTTTTCATTCTCTAAAGCTACAAAATAATTTATTCAAGTCCTGGAGAAATTCTACTTTGACATTGTCTGTGAAATGAAGAATATTTTACACATCAATCCACATTCCCCCACAAAACTGTATGGATCACACCCAGTTTTTAAGTAAGACTGCCCACAAAACAAAGATGTTAAGAACTTTTTCACAATGACTCAGAAGCACTAGTTTCATTAGTAGCCTATTTCCTCCTCTGAACGCATCGCATGTGGTTCCCTGCTGCAACTCTCCATGCTTTGATAGCCCTGTACAATGCTGCTTGAACTCCATGCCACAAGGCAACACTGTAAAGAAGCTGAAAGCAAAGAGAACACTGAAAGAGAATCATTCTGACTGGAAGAGTCAAATTGCCAAAAAAAAAAAAAAGCCTGTAGCCACTTTTCACAATGAAGGGAGGTTATCAGTGGCATTTGATAGGGGCATACACTAAGACTTGTCCTGTTCAATATATTTTAAAAGTGCTCTAGAGAGGGGTATGAGCAAACAAACATAACATTTATTTGCATACAAAGTTATTCAGGAGAGTGAGAATAAAAAAAAAAAAAAAAACGAACAGCATAGTAATGCTGAAGAAGAGACTTACACCAGTGACTGAGGAATAAAATGGCAGATAAAGTTTAAGTTAAAAAAGTGAAATAACACAAATGGAAGAGAGGAGAGACAGAAACTTCAATATTCAGACACAGTGATAGGCTCCAAATTAGCCACCCCCACTCAAGAAAGACTGTGGAGGGACTGTAGATGGTTTATTTAAAAAATATGAACTCCATGCTCACAAAAATAAAATATTAAGATCTGTTAGTAAAGGAACTCAGAACACAAAATTCTTCAATATGCTATTACATAAATTCATTGTGCAACCACACTCTGAATACTGCATGAAGATCTGATCATTCAATCTCAAAATTAGAACCATAAAAAGATTAAAAAGACAAAATGAAACAGTGGAAAAGAGACACAGAGTGTCTTCCATAGGAGAGGAGACTAAGTATTAGGACTTTCTGTTTTGGAAAGACCAAGAGGGAGATATGGTAAACGTTTATTAAAAACCAAAATCCACGAAAAGCACTAGTGATGAATTATTTGCTATTTCTCATAAAGCAAAAAGCTAGATAGGATCCAAAAAAGTAATCAGATAGCAGTTTGGCAAGTTTCTTGGATTTGTTTTGTTGGGGATTTTTTAAGTTGTGTGGGCATGTTGTTGATTTAAAAAAGAAACACTTTGTTCTAACCACAGAATGCTGTGGAGCTAAAAACATTTATGTATTAAAAATTAGATAAATTCATTGAGAGCAGATAAAAGAGACTAGTTACTGCATAATAGTAAAGGATGTAATTTGCAGCTCAAAACAAGTGCCTGAATGTTTGGGGTTTTTTTTGTTTTTAAACTGCTGGAAGCTGGAAAGGTGTATGAATGGAAAAACCCACCCATTGTTTCCATGCCTAAAGAAAAGAATGTAACAAGCATCTGATGGGAGTTTGAGGCAGGATAATGAACTATATTTTTGTTCTCTCTGACCCAATACACTAGATCTTATATCTATCAAAACATTTAACGCAATACACAATTTGAGCCCATCATGCCATAGAAACAAGCCAAGTATAATACTATTTAGAAAAAAATCTGTCATGGTATAGTAAGACTTGTTAATAACTACAAGGTAATTGAGAGCATTAATTTGGATTACAAAGACATTAATAGCTATGTATTACAGCTTGCAAACAACAGCTCTAGGCATCATGGTTCAAGGAGATCTTTACAGTCAACTTTTGTCCCCTCTTCCCTACCTTTGAAGCTCAAAGTACCTTACGCTTTGCATCAAAGCATACACATAAACACAAATCACAAGAGTTAGGACACCACATTAAATGCATGCGTATTTACCAAGGCCAGGTACACATCTACTATACCAGCAATTTTCATTTTTGTATTCTGATAATCTTACTGTTTCTAAAGGTTTTAAGCTCATAGTAAATATGCTATCTTACCTCATTCAATGCACACATGCGAGCAATAGAACCTATGTTGTTGGTGATGGTGACCAAAGTAGCTCTGGCCAAGTCCTCTTTACTGATGGAATCTCTCTTTTCTTTACTCATCATATGACCAAAGCTGTGTGAGGAAGATTATTCCTTTTGAGTTATTTCGGAGTGCTAAAAGCCCTTAGAAATTTTATCATTTAATAAGCTTTGCTTGGATTTGATATCCATTGATTTGAGACAGATTTGAAGTGTGAAAAGAGATCTCGTTGGAAAGGCAGAACAATGAGCAAAGACGCTTCTTCTAAAATAACTGTAATTTAAATGGAAGCAAATTACATCAAGCATTGCTTATACCTGTTTAAAAAAAAAAGATCAAGAAGTAGGTGAGAGATCTAAGGACAAACCACATGATACATTCAGCGTGACATTTCCACACGGACACTGTACATAGTCCAGGGATTACGCACTCAGTTCAGCATGCCCCGCAAGTTTCCTAAGGAACTCCTTAAAAACAGCTCAATTAACACATACCTTGAGGCTACAGCAGACCCTTGAAGGCCAAATCGCTCATAGTCTCCTCCATAAATATCTTTCACCAGTTTATCCACATTGGTGCTGTCTCCTTTTGCGGCCATTTCTAGTGCTTCTTCAAACGTCTCGCAGCCAGTCAGCAGACAGCACAGGCCCAGGAACGTTCCTCCTCCAAGACTAGAAAAGCATAGTTCCTTCAGACCAGCAGCTTGAATTGGCTTTTACCACAGCTCTTCAGACTCCCATCTGCAGCATGATCTACACAACTACCAACTGTACCTTGCAACTCCTCCCTCAGAGGGGTGAGGACTGACACCCTAAATTGAGTTTTTATTTAACACAAATGTTGTCCAGCATGGTTTTAACTGAACTACTACTTAAGTCCTTAGTATTTATATAGGAAAAGTTATGCTAAATAAAGGGTTAGCCGAGAATAAGGTCCAATTCAACTCTGCAGATGTCAGTTTGCTATTTGTAACACACTAGCAAGTTTTCCTTGTGCAAGCATGATTAGCCATCAGATCACTTAAGTCAGAGATGAAAGAACAAACAGCTACCAAAGCTAAGTATCTATGCAGGGGCAGACAGCCACATCAGATCTTGTCACGCTAGCCAGTGGCAGGAAGCCGTCTGGTTGGTCCCTGTTCAAAGCAAGGCTAGTATCAGCCCTGCGTGTCTCAGCCCTCCGAAGAACCCTGAGAAAGGGGCAGTCACTTTAATATATTGCAAGCGCTCAAGTAAAATATTTAACTGACTACATAAATTTAGCAGGTAGTATTTGACTACTCATAACAGGTTGCTAACTCATTGCATTAAAATTCTACTTTGGACTCTTCAGTCTTAACAGACATGAACTTCAACTTACTAACCTCTACATCCTTCCTCATTCTTTCTTAACCCTTGAGAAAGTTAGCTTATTTGTACTGATTGTAGTCACACCGACTGGAGCCACTGTAAACAAGAGGATCAGTGAGACACCACACTTGCACTTCTCAAAAAAGCACAGGAGGTCAGACAGGAACACCGTTTAGTCAGTGCTCTTGGATTATTAGGCAAGTTTTTCAGAACACATCTAGTAGCACTGGAACATATTTAGTATCTGAACAGTATGAAGCTCTGCACACCAGCCACGAGACAGTATTGATTTCGTCATCTATAACAAGTCAGCCACCCAGTGCAGTCATGTTTTTCATTTTGTAGTGGAAAGGATCAGAAGCACATCTACAGATATCCAAAGGGCTATGCTTGAAAAACAACCTGAATTGCAACAAAACCAATACCTCTTCCATTCAACTTGTGCTCACCTGCATCGTATACAGATAAATGGCTCATGGCTACCATTGTGGCAAAGATACACCCTAGATAAGGCAACAGATGACACATATGCATTCATGTGCAGTATACAGGAGAAATTTTATTAATATGTACCATGCACTGAAGAACAGAATACAGCTTTGGAAGGGACTATAGCAATTCCAGAAAGCTGCTTTGGTGGTTGTTTTGGAAGAGGATTTTTTTAGTTTTCTGTTTTAGTGGTTGGTTGGTTTGGTTTTTAAGATTAAACATTACTAAGAATTAAACATAGCAATTCACTTTGCATGGATGAGGAAAAAGTGGGACAGATTTATTGGTATTTTTACTACTAGTCTGGATGAACACATTTGTAACTACAGTGGTTCCCTATAAGTAAGCACTGTTGCCACATCTATAGAGTCAACTTAAATACGTCTCAGGCTGTGTTTTGGCCTTGAGAACAAAATTCTGTATCCACACTACTGAACTCCTGAATTCCTAAACAGAGCAGTCACATCTAAATCTCTTACTGAACATAGGCCTGAGACCACTTCAACTCAGCTGTACCCTACAAATCATTTTGGAAAGCACTAGCTGACCCAGGCTGAAATCATGCTGAGGACAAAGTAAGAATACAGACAATTGGATTCTACTCTTTACATACTGACATTCCTTAGTTTACCAGCATGGTCCAAAGACTACTGCAATCAGTAAGGAAATGAGATCTATTGAGATTCTTCTGGCAAAATCCAGTAGTAGCAGGTAATTGCACAAAGTTTTCCGATATCCTGGATGCATCCTAACACTTAAGCAAGAGGTTTCTGTTTAGCCCAAACATTTTTATTTCACTGCTCTGGCTGTTCTGGGGGATCAAAGCAGTGGAGAGAAGATTCATTTACTAGGGTAGCTTTATTTTGGTAATTCGCAGCAAGAGATAGGAAGTAGGTAAGAACACCAACAAGAATCTAAGGCAGCTCTAAAGTTGAATGGATCACTGATTTTCTGATATAGACTCATCCCTCTCTTAAGGAATCCTAGGATATTTCCACCTTGCTACTGGTGGGCTTTTAAAAGAAATGGGAAGACAAGCACAATTTGGGGCTGCACCTACTAGTCACACTATCTCGTTCTATCTGTTCGATTATTAAGGAGAAAACAGAATTAAAAGAACATAGAATTAAATTTACCTGGATCCTGTGACTCTCTTATAGTTGTCCTTAGAATACACAGCTAGGATGCTGACCCCTGAGCCTATGTTAACCAGCAGCATAGGATATGGATTATCAAGGCAGTAAGGCTTTTTCTGGCACTGTTCAGGATCTGTAGGATTTTCAAAATAATAGCACTCTGGTTGGCCATTGAAACCAACAGAATCAACATAAAGGAGGCCCTGGATCAAACAGTCCAATTCGTCTAGCTTGTGGAGTTGTAGATCAGCAATCTGGAAAAGAACAACAAGAAATTAATAAATAAACATTTCCTAATATAATACAACACTGAGAAGGACAAAAGGCTCTGCTGAAGCATTCTGATCACTTAAATAGTAACACATTAATCTATTTAAACAGTACAAAGCATGAAGTCCAAAATTGCTATCTGCCTGACAAATGGGTACCTCCCAAAAAAAATGATGTGCTGCACAGTAATGTCGTTTAGTTCCTCTGCCTTTGAGATATTCCCTGCTCTGCAAGCAGGAAACATTTCCCACCCTCAGTATTCTGAAGCAATAAATTTCTTTCCCCTCATCTCCATCCCAAGAGGAGCTATGTTCTGCAGCTTTTGGACAGCTTCTGACACATGCCTACACAGCAGCAGTCCTCAGGATGCAAAGTGCTTTAACTCATCATCCAGCTACATTTCCCAGCAATTTAATGAAACTTTTAATAGAAGCATGAAGATCAAAAAAGTTCAATTAAAGAACAAGATCATTAAAGCCTTACAAAGTGCACATGCTTATATTAATATGCATTAAATATGCAGGGGATTATGCTTAAAAGATTTGCAATTTTTTTAAGTGTATGATGTTACCAGTAATCTGAGAGCGCTATTTCTTTAAATTACAATAAGCACTTTAAAATGCCTCATGAAAAACAGGGTATTCCCAATGTTTGATGAAAACCAATATAAAACACCCAAACAAAAATATTGTCAGGCCTATGGCCCCAGCAAAACATTCAAAAAACGTAACTGCAACAGAAGGCAGAAAAAACATTATAGGAGCTTAAAAAGGACATTCCCTCTGAGATCTCACAGGTCACCCGTGACTGTATTTAAAGAGACATGTCTACTTGCCATAACATTCTGTTTACTAGAATTAGAAATCACATCCCTTTCTCGAAATAGGATACAGTGACAATCTGTAGGAAGTCTCCTTTCCAGATGACATTGAGCTTAGACTTGTTTTAGGGAGAGAAGAGAGAGAAAAAATAGCAAAGTTGTCTGTCCAAACCCTGAAGTCATTTGCATCCTCACACCTGCAAAGTAGGTCTTACCTAACTTCACTTTCTAACACAAAAAGCAACAGGTTATTATGAACACAAGGGAGTTAGTTATACAGCACAGAGCTGGTTCTCAAACATTTGCATATTGCAGGATGTTTTTATAACAGCTAATGGAGAAGATTTATGACACTAAACATCTCCTATTTTTAATTCTGGAAGCTATATTAAGTCACTAAAAAGAGGAAAGATATTTCTGTGGAACAGGCCTGGCCAGTAGGTTACATTCTTTTGAGCTATTTAAATCTCTCCCCTTAAGTTTTTTCTCTACTTGTACATAGCTCCAACTTGCCTTAACTGAAAGCCATTCTACTCTTTGGGTCTGCTCTTTTGTTATACTTGCTACTCCTCAAACTCTGGAACCATAGAAAAGAAATAAGACCAACAAAACCCAAACTAGCAGTCTCAAAAGACCCCAATATAGATCCAGTTATTCACTGGACAATAGAGACAGGTGGAGACCTTTTCTTCTTGTTTTAATATTTCCTCCTGTAACTTTTGCAACCCTTCATATTTTTTTCTTGGTCACCACATGGCTACACAAATTCCAGTTACAGAAATGCAGCGTAAAAGACTTGAACCATTTAGCCAGAAAATAAAAAGAACAGACACAAATCAGGAGAAAAGGTTTTTAAAGAAATGTTACAAAAATCTTAAGGCTACTTTGGAAATATTTTTAATAGCAAGAAATTGCTGAAATCCAGCTGAGAGGAAAAGCTCCGAGAGATATATATTAACATAATAAATGCTTCATGCACTCTTTCTCACAATGGGCATTACATGGAGCCCACTAAATCATCTCTGGTGAGATGATTTATATTGTTAAAACCCAACTAACATTGCACATAGCTGTTCAAAATAAGGAAAGATTCTTTGCTAACCATGATTCTTCTCTAGGTTGTGTGCTATACAGTCTCAATTTTCAAAACTAGACATGGCATGACCAAACACGATCTAACACAGATACAGCATGCGCAAACAAACATGCTATGAACCAGAAGCCTGCTGTACAAAGACAAGTCATTAGCAGATTTATGGCCCTACTGTCAAAACCTCCATTCTCCCATAAGCCCAATACCCAGTCAGAAGCTGCTTTTGTCTCATTCACGTTACACTTTTATAAATAGGTAAGCATCAGTGAGAGACGTTGCAAGGCACGAGCGAGCAATACAAATCTAAGTAAAACACTTAGGGCATCAGTGCAAAACCACAGACAAAATCCTTGTTTCTACAAGCTCTCCCGTCAGCCTACCAATTTTGTAAGGACAGAACAAAAGAAACATCAAAGGTTCTTTTTCAAGCACTAAGCATAGAAGTTTTACTAGGTCCAGCCCTCCATGTATAAAAGACATAACAGAATTTGCTCTGCTTTTTATAGCTCTGTGCTATATTTAACAGCTGATATACTGTAAGCAAAAAAGCCCTACTACTGCTTTCTTTCATGTATGATATTCATAGCAGACTGAAAAACTATTTTCCTGCATTGTTGTAGCAGTCTGGTTTTCATTTTTGGAAGGAGCAAGACTAGCATTGGCATTCCATGTTGGTCTGCCTTCATTCAGAGAACTGCAAGCTCTGCAGCCACCAGACCTCTGACGCTCTAAACAGCCCCGTGAGCCACCACCATTCGTGTTTCCAAACACAAATTAGGGCACAGTTGCAAGAAACGTAGTAACCCAGTGTTGTACAAGAAGCCATGATAGAGCCAGGGCCACAATTCCCAGTCCCTTTCCCTGCATATAGAACTGCCTTTTCTCTATTCATTGCTTTGCTCAGAATGACTTGAGCAGCAAAACCGCATCATGAAATAGATATGCCTGTAAACATCGTAACTAACATACGAGTAGACAAACGTTTTTCTCTGGTGCCATCACCCCACCTACCACACTCTACTTGCGTTTATCCTTTCAGCTGTTCAAATTACTTCTCCTTGCAGGAACAAAAGTTTATGTGCAAAAATACAAAACAAAAGTGGGAGCTGTGAGAAGCACATTTTTAATTAGACGTTTTTGCTACAACTTTTTACAAAACGTATTTACAGATATTTTCCAGCCCTTTACAATCCCTAATGTGAGGGCAGACAGCATAGCAGTCAACTTATCCTGCTCAGCACAGTGCCTCTCTAGAAAAGTTTTATGTCAGAAAGTCATGCTACGAGAAGAACTGCAGAACAAAGTAGAATACAGGACCCTGGAGGGAAAATTTATGGTGGTTACGAGGAAACCATATGTACTTTTTTTTTTTAAAAGAACAATTTTTCTGCATTACAGCCAGACTGTAGAAATTCCTCTTTATTTTAGACTAGTTTTTAAATACTGGGAGAGGGAACAAAACACTTGGGACTTCAAGGAACTCTTCAGGACCATCAAAACAAGGCCTCAGGACCTTAACCAGGTTGCAACACAGCAAGGCAGTAGCGAGCACCTCCCCTGGCAGTTCACACCTTGGCAACAAACTCCTGAAATCCAGCTGATTTCAAGGATACACAAAAGGTCTGTTGTTACTGTGCACAGATCCTATTCTAACGAGAATGAAAGCCCACCTCTTGTTGTATACTTGTCAGAAGTGCTGGGAAATGGTACTGTCCAAGTTTAATTTGTGGGTGATTTTTTTGATTTTTTTTTTAAAATATGCAAAATGTCAAACAATTTTTAGTTGTATTCAGGTACCGGACATTATAAAATGAAAAAGACATGGTACCAACTTGCTGCTGCTTTGAAGTATGGAAGCAAAGAAGTTAAAGACTTGGGTCATGTTTGTTTCTTTATGGGTAAGTAAATATTTCCACCTCAGCAAGGAAAACATAAAATGGCCCAGTCACCTAGAAGTGAGCTGAGGGAAGCCATGACATATACACAGCAGGGTTGAGCCTAATGGATCAACACTGGGGTGCAGACATCTTTTCAATAAAGCTCCAGTTCATGAAAGATTTCACCCAGTTTGAATTTTCAGTTACGAATTTCTGCTGAGCGCAGGAATGTCCAAACCTAGATGCAGTTAAAAGTTCATCTGTCTCATGGACTTCCAATCATAAGTACAAACTTTTTTTCTGTAAGAAGCTGTTAGGAACATAACATCTTTCAAGTTTTTAATTATCAATTAAACCAGCCTCATTTACTATATGACTCTGGCTTTTATATGCCTTCTGGGCATTGCTCCATTTTTTATTTCTTATAATAGCTTACAGTCTAGCTTTTCATTCCATCTCCCTCCCATTACCTTTCCTCCACTTTCATAAAGATGTACTTTGTCTTCCCCTCAACCCTGCTTCTTTTTGAGCTCAGATAAAGTACTCCCTCCAGCTAGTTCCACGCCCTGAGGCTGGGAAATAGCCACTCACATTCAAACAAGACAAAGTCTAATGCAAATAAAGGGTAAGCCCAGCATTTCCTGAGGCAGAAAAGAAGATAGACTCTGCACCAGCTTTGGGTAAAAAAAAAAAAAAAAAAAAAAAGCACTAGTTTGGGAACCTCTGCAGAGGATCTGCCCTCTCACCTTCCTAGCTGTAAGGATCTCTTCCCTCTCTTGACATGGATGACTTCTCCCCATTCTCTCTGAAGAGTTTCCTAGCTTCTTGCGGTGGTGGTAACAGAAGGTATGACTGTTACTTCACCCATTCTCTGGATACCACTTTCAACGCCAGCCCACACACTACAGGCCAGCACGCCAGCAGCAGTGTCCAGCCTCCTCAAGCAAGTGAGGTGCAACAAGATTTTGGAGTGTCTTACAGTAATGTAGAGTTACAGAGCTTACTCATCCTACAACACAGGACACTCAATTTATTTGTAGTAAAGTCATTCACAGGCATTTGGTTCATACCACAAAGTCAAGCCTTAGAATCAGCTAATAACTGGCACAAGGAAATCACTCTCCAGTAGCCAAGCCTACTCTTAAAGCATTTTTCTTACAGGTTATGGGAAAGGTCAAGGCCTGAGTTTACGTCTGTGTTGGTAACAGATTTCCTTCCTCTATTAAGTGACTGGTTTTTGGCACAGGTCCTGCTTCCACTGAAGCCAGCAGTAAAATTTCTGTCAAGACAAGTCAGGTTCTACAAGTGTCTGTTCAGGAAAGGAATACAAAGATCCCACCTTTGAGCCCCTGCAATTGACAGGGGTTTTACAATAGAGCAAGTTTTAGACAAAAGTTTGAATAGCCCTTTCTTCCCTCACCCCCCATGCATCCTTTACATTGAGTTGCTTTACAAAACTGAGAGCCTAAAAATTTATTACTCATTTACATCAACAGCATACTTTTGTGCAAGTAATGTGCGTGTGCTGTCACAGAGGAATCAGAATATAAATGGATTTATATTACAGGGACACAAGCAAGTAAGTCTATGTACTCCTTACTTGTACAGAAATGATGTTACTTAGGCATCTACAGAATTTGTGAGGTAACAGTACATAACCGGGGAAAGGAGGGAGGATTATCAGAATTAGATGACAGATTCATCCATCCCTTAACACACTGTTACCTGAAAATAAAGTCAGCCAGCCATTTCCCCAGTCATTCAGAAAGTGGAAAAATAAAGCCAAACAAAAAACAACAAAAAAACCCCCACTCTAAGCTGGAAACAGTCCTCTTAGTGAATTACTTACTGATGCTCTTTAATGAACATTAAGTATAACCATATGGTTGGTAAAATTATTTCTGTGGTCTAGTTTAATGAATAGAGTCAGTTTTCCTACTTCTAGGGGAAACATTCAGATCTTAAGAATGAATCGAATGATTTTCCAGGCTACTGATCGTTATTGCCGGCAGTCACCAAGGACCCCATGGAGACTTCAGGTCTCCTCCTATCCAGCACTGTGGATCACATAAGAGGGAGGTCAGATAGCTAAACCTAGCTAGCTTTGTAGCTTTAGTTGCCTTTCTATGGCACAGAAGGCTTAAGGTAAAGAGAAGATGCCTCCCAATTTGTTTTTTTTTTCAATACACAAAAGCAGCAGAAATGTCTGGATCAAACCTATTTAACTCATTTAGGGATTCAGAATTAGACAATGGAACAAGCAAGTAACAACAGGGTGTTTGCTTGTCTATTTTAAGGAAAAAAAGCTGCTGTAACCTTAGAAGGATTCCTTCTTTGGGATTTGAATGCTGTTTTACAATGTTAGATCTTTTGCCCAAATCTATGCAATCCTGAAAGTCCCATAAGCATTTAGTAATGCCATGAAAGACAAGTAACTTTAAAGCATGTACATAGGAAAATAAAGGGCCATAACAAAAGCACATTACCTCTATCAGTTTCATGAGTTTCCTAGCATTTAGCCAGATTTTTTTTTATGAAATTAACAACATTCATAAACATACTTTAGTTTTTCCACATTGCTTCTAAGAGGAACCTTTAAAGCCTCCTCCATATAAGGCATTATACAATATTGAATCCTGCAACAGCAGGATATTAGACTTGGCACATGTTCTCTACTTCTACAGGTGCATTAGAGTGATCAAATATTTGAAACAGACATTTCAACGCTTTGAGAGAGCAATCCTGAAACTGTTGTCCAATGTCAATTTACAGTCAGCAAAACACACCAAAATGGCCAGCTGCTGTTACAATAGCTAATGAAGTGTGACAATTTAAGTGCTGGTACCCAAGACACTCAAGCCCTTCGAGAGAGATTAAGCAAGTAAACCTTCATGTAATGGATAACATTTTGCTTCTGTAATACTCTATAGATACTGCAGTTTAAGCCAAGAAATATTTGCTATAAAGGAAGGTGTGGAACAGTATAGTTATAAGAAGCCATGTCCAAACCACTCAGGTGTGAGTGCACTTCACTGATTGCTCTACACTACAAAACACCCCAGCCAGCCTTTATAGTGTTTCTCTTTAACTATCTTCAAGTGTTGTAGCACACAGAACGTTAACTAACACTGCAGAGATGTGGGATTTCATGCCTAAGTCCACAAACAATTTGCTACGTGACCTCATATTTTTGTACAATAGCTAGCAAAACAGCCTCAACTTCAACTACGGCTTCCAGTGCTACATTGACTATATTGCAACTGAGATGACAGAGACCGGTCCCTCACTGCAAGTTGCATATTTACCAGATAAAGCCAAAGCTACAGAGAGAAATGCCTAGCAGTGATAGTCACCAGATAACATCCAGTTCAATTCTACAGCTGTGGGCATGAGGGACAGAAACTTCCTTAGTGAGTAAGCAACTCTAGCTGCTATTAAATGATGTAGGAAAGATGAATTTGGGAAGACTGACTCTTCAGAAAGTTTCAAAGTGACCTCCTATTGTCACTAGAGAATGTGACCTGAATCATCCACTGGACACATGGAAGGATGCTCAAAAACCTGAACTGAGGTCATATTGACTAGTTCTAGAACTCACCTCCTATTGTGGTGCCAACATCTATACACAATGCAAAAAACCCTAAAAATTGAGGACTCAATCATCAGTAGACCCTAACATGTAAAGGACTTCCAGTCAGCCTAAAGGACAAGAAATCTGGCACTAGTAGTGGAGTACTACAGCAATTCAGTAACTTGATAGTCCTTCATTAAACTAGCTGCTTCCATGTCCAACATTCACTGATAACAACTGCACAACGTAACAGCTGGAATTCACACTGATCTCTTAGAGCATTCTCTTTCCCCCTCAGGATCTTGGTCCTCTGGTAGGTGAGGGGTATTGACAAACTAAAAACCTCTTACACCGCAGGAATGGATGCTTGGAGTTAAAAATGAAGCACACAAAGCCAAGGACTGCAGTCAACAGCAGTTGGTAAGTCAGTATGGTAGCTCCCTAGCCTGAAGCAGAGACAGAAAAGCAACTGATGTAACCTGTCATACCCACTAGCCATCCCTCACCCTCAAGATCAGGTCAAAAGCTAGGGACAGAAATGTCAGACCTGCCTGCCAAGTAAATCATTCACATTAATCTTAGTGAGATTGCTCTGGTACAGGTAAACTAGTCATTCTTTTACAGAAAATAAATGGAGATATGCCCCACTAGAGACACATACACAACAGGCAACTGCCTCCCAAATGACTATTCCTCTCTAATGCAGTTTGTACAATGGCACTCTCTGCTTCTGTTGCCACAATCAGTTTTTGCAGTGCACTCTAGTGCATTCATTTGGGAGCTAGGACTATTGCTGAAGTTTATACAAACAGCAGCATCCCAGTACTTCAGATTTGCATCAGCTCCTGGAGCTCCTCACAGAGGTTATTTTTAAATTGTAGGGGAACTGGGACCTAGTCACCTCATGAATTACCTTTCTTCACATGACATACTCCAGAACTGAAATCAAAAGCTAGCTGCTATTGTCATGCTTCCATACACTGTTTCTCCCCCTGCTCCATTGCTTGGTCTTCCAGACTCTTGACTTAAGTCTGTTTGAAGACTAATACAAGGGGAAGGGAACCTGAACCTAATCGCCAGCCTGTATGGTTTAATTTCTGGTTTTCTAATAGATAGCCAGTTTGCAAGATGAGTACCTAGTCTTAGGCTTCTAGGTTATCATAACACAGACTCAGCTGATTATGAAGCACCTGATCATCACAACTGTACTAAAAAAAAAACATTTACTGAAGACATCCTGCACAGTAATATTTCAGTAGAATACCCTCCTCTGTTCTCTCCATGTTCCAAGCAATTCCACCAGTTAACCAATGTGAATTGATTCTGTTAGTCTTAACCAGTTAGGACAGACAAAAAAAATAAATGTTATTTTTCCTGCAAGTTTTAATAGAAGGACTCCCATGATGTTTTCCCAAAGTACTTCCCACTGAACCCTTATGAACTGTTCACGTACCGTTCTAAAGTCCTCCTCAAACTTGTAAGCTCCACCTCCTGTGGCACAGAGCGTAGTGTGCAAACTGGAGAAGTTCTTTTCACTACCCATCTGTATGAACCTGTGCATGGCACAGCTGGGAAAGCGGATGAAGTGCAGGTTTCCTTTGCGTCCACACATAGTCAAATTTTTCAGTTCAAGATGGACATCGCGAATGCCAGTTTTACCATAGGCTGTATTGGAGGTCAAGTATTTCCTAATGCTTTTCAGGTTTTCCACCTCCTCCTGTTCCTCTTCTGCAGTAATGTCCTTAGGTTCAAAGTAGACCAATTTAACCAACGTTCCACCGATATCCATTCCAAACCATGGAAACGCTAAGGACAAGGGGGTTGGGGAGGAAGAAAGAGAAAGTCACTATAAACATACAGGTTAGCCAGATCACTTAAAACACATGCTGAACAATAATTCAGTGTGGTCACAGTAGCAGTGTCTGCTCCTGAATGCTGGTGGTCACTTATGCATTCAATTCACATGTATTAAAGACCTCTCTAAGTTAGGACTTCATAAAGCCTCAGTTAAGAAAAAGAATAAAGAAAATATCAAAACACTCTTCTTTGGAGAAGCAGGTTTTAATAAAATGAAAATCTTTTTTTCCAGGGAAAACATTTTACTCTCCAGTCAGCACCTCTCGACAGAGCACAGTTACTGCATTTCACCCAGTCTGACTCCTGGCACCAATTCTTAAAATAGACTAAGCAGGGGAGGAGGAAGAAACAACCAAACAGGAGAACGAGATTTTTCAAGTCATATTCCCACTGCGTAACATCTACAACTGCCTCTCCAAGACCAGTCGGAATTTCCAGTCACAAGGCTCTTTCTGAGGAGCAGCAAAACATAGCTCTCCCATCATGCTGGGAGTCTCCAGACTTCAACCCATCAGAACTAGCAGCTCTGTTGGAACTATACTACCTGCATATATTAGCAGGAAGAAAATGAGCTGTTTTAAATTAAATATTTACTACTGACAGTCCTTTGAGCATAGACTCCCTTTGCTGGTGTATATATTAGCCTATCACACAACTATACAAGAAAAGCCACTATTTGCTTCTCAGCATATATATATTTGCCACAGCCAGCCTAGGTCTACCAAAGCCTTTGTTCTATTAATAACAAGAGAAAATCACTATGGAGAACACACAGACAGAAGATACTAACTCAACCAGGTTGGTCTGCCTGGTCTGCTTATATATACATGCATACATTTCAAACAGTAAGCCAGGTAACTTCATGAAGCAGTAAGAAGGGAGAATAGAAAAGTCTACACACAGGTACTGCAGGAGGCAGCAGCTAGTAATGTTTCTTAGAGAATTAAAAGTCCTGAGTATTTCTAAAATAGCGGTCACACAGTCACCTCTCTGGTTTTAAGGAAGAATCAGACAGACTTGCTAGAAACGTGATTCTACCAACTAGGGCATCCCAACTTAAGGTTGATACAAACTCCAAACCATGGACACCATAAGCATTACTGATATTTCTGCCAGTGAATCTAAATGTAAACAACTTGAGGGAAAGACTTTTAATAAGCATAGGAAGTACTGATCACACTGTTCTTCCTCAGGTGATCACAGCTCAGTATTAAGTTACTCAACTTCAGACTGAAAGGAGCTTAGAGTCTTTTACTTCTTACCACAAAGGTCTCAGCATCATTCTTGTCTGGCTGAATAATTAAAAAAACCACCAACTAAATTTCACAGTTGTTAATACACCACCCCCCCACCATTCGTCGTGGTTAAAACCCCCCCCCCCCCCCAAGCAATCCTTAAATGTCATATGTTTAAAACTATTATTTTGCTCCACTGCTGTATGCCAAATAATTGAATTATCAGTTTCTCCCCCCTTTCCCTAAGGACAAGGAAAGAATAAAGCATAAACTGCCATGAAGTAGCTTGCTTACAGTTCAATTCTTCTAACAGCACCTTCTGTTATCTGTTGCAAAGTTTAATTTCTTTTTCCATGCCCTACAAGCTGCAAGACCAAAGACACTGACATGAAGTCTAATTTGAGGTTTGGGAAGATACATCCCATGCAGATGCATGAAAGCTCCCTGAAATGGGAAGAACTTGAAATAAGTGTTTTTAAAGTAGGCTTTATTTTAAAGAGGAAAAATATGTTACCATACACTAACCTGTGTATCAAACGCTTTTGGAAGCACAAGGGGTCTGGTCCACACTGTACAACACTACAATGCTGTGGAGCTCAGGATGCCAATCCCATTAGTGATTTACACAAATCTTTAAGCTACTGAGAACTTTAATTACCTGTCTCACTGGAACAGTAAGTCTCCTCCTTGGATGTATCTTAACTATACAAGCAGGAAGTTTAATTTTAAAAGCAGCATCGTTGGACTGTGCCATACAGAACCAGCCTGTAGTCAAGTGTAAAACAGCTTCCAATATTCTAGATTAAGGGCATAAAACCTGCTACAATCTACCTGCACCAACAGTTGCTTTACAGCTATAGTGTAGATTTAATCTTTAGAGAGGGAAGCGAGATTCCATCCTCCTATCAAACACAAGCCCAGCAATAGAAGTGTTAAGTACTAACAGCTGAGAGTTATTCATAAATGACTGCCAAGACATTTACTTTTATATTTTAACATTTTGAGGAGTCATAACTAAATCATTAAGAATAAGTACTGTAGAAAACAACTATGAAGTTATTTCAAGTCTGTATAGTTCTTGGGATAGTTACACATAATGCTCACATTTAAAAAGCAAGCAGAAATGCCAAGAGACTTTGTTTATTCTGTGAATCTAAGCTCCTTTCATTTTGTTGTGAGCCAAACGGAGAGCTGCAGAAAGAAAAGAACTTTGCTCCTAGAACAGCAGCAGTTTTCTTCACCACAAATAAAGAGCACAAGATCAGTCCACAACAACCGATATTTCAGTTATGCAGAACAGCAGCTTAGTTTTCTTCACAGCTGCTCAGACCAGCTATCTGTTGGAATCACTCACAATAAAGATGACAAATATTTTAACCGGTTGACCACTTAGGACAACAAAACAAGTCTCAAA